CCAATAGCAAAGAGAGACATAAATAGTAATTTGTCGAGGTAAAATACAGAAAAGATGCTTAAAAATGGCTAAAACACAAAGGAAATGTGACTATTCTGACACGTTAATCATGAATGGTGTCTGCATAACAATTTTCCTTCATTACGCACTCATTTCACAATTTCCTTATTAAAACCAGGGATGTCCCAGTTTTTTATTCTGAAATTCTGGTCTCCCTAGTCACCATGGTAACTACAGACATACACGCAGAAGCCCCCCGGCATCACATCACTGCAAAGTATCAATATTTTTTAAGAGTATACATTTCCCTGTGGTAGAATCATTGCATTTTGTCTTCAGAAATGGCTTTGGGCGAACACAATATAATGTTTCGTTAATCAGCATTTTATACGATCATGAATATACGGAATAGCAGCTTAAACAGTAATAGTAGTGTGTTATAGTTTTGCCCCTAGTTTCTGATCTAAAGTGCACCTAAAATAATTCATATACAGTATATTTTCCGGTGTTTTATATAGAAATAAAATCTGAAATAGATAAACAGATTGCACTATGCTCGAGTTACCACACTCATACCACTGCTTTTATTGTGCAGAGTGGCAGAGTGGTTAACAATTATGAATGAAATATGATATTGGTTCGTACCCTGTGTGAATATATTTCTTAATGATAAGTTTTATTTTGCACTTAGCGTAAAGTGGCCATTATTTTGTCAGTTAAATTAAACTGCAAAATACAATATAATAGATTTCTCTTGTAAAATAGATTTAATTGTGTTTTCATTATTTTTACAGTGTGCTGTGTAACTTTTCTGCAATGTTCCACGGTATAGCATTGGCATCATTAGGTCAGCTTACATGTCGGGTCTGCGGAGAGAAGATACACTTAAAGGTTGTATAGACGATTTTCCAATGAAAGAGAAATGCAGCGACTGTTTGTCCTTTTTCAAATGTCGCGCTTCGCTCCTTTTCCCCTTCTCTTCTTCTTTCAGCGACGTCAAAAACAGACTTTCTTTTGCGGCGAAAAGGTCGTGAATTCTTGTCTGCCATTACAACAAATTTGAGCAAACTGAGAGGAAGCTACAGTTTGAAAAAGACGCTAAGAACTGCTGTGTTGGTTGAGTAAACAGCAACTGAGTTTGATGGACAACCCGACAGCCAATAGATAAAGAGGTAGCCTTGTTATCTATTGGCTGATGTTTATCTGCCGCCACCACGTTCACATTTGATGGATTTTTTTTCTTTTTTTTTGGTCATCAAAATTACAAGGCTGCTGCATTTCTATAATTCTGTTTTGAACTTTCTTCGACAATTTGAAACAAACAAACAAAAAATCCTCCATACAACCTTTAATGCCATACTGTCAAACATTTCAGTGAAAGCAATAACATCTCCGTACCCTGCAAATTTCTCCGCTCTGGCCAAGATTTGAAAACTTATATCAGGTTATTCATCCTGTTTTCAGATTTCTTACTAGTTCTGAGATGCTTAATTCTAGTCTAGAGGTAGTTTATTTTAAGATAACTTGTCAAGTAAAATTATTTTGCTGCATGGACAGATCATTTCACTACTTTTAAGTCATTTTCTGATAGATTTAGGTGTTTATATCTTCAATTTTGGCCAAGCTTTTGTGCAGTGTAATGACAAGCAGACGGTGTGCAAAAAAAGTTACATCTTTACTAAAATGTGAAAGTCACTTGAGAATAAATAGCGCTATGTACTTTGTCATTTAATTGTCTTGAAACAATTCTTCTGTTTTGTTAAATTTATTATACAGTCCCTGACAAAAGTCTTGTCGCTTATCCATTTTGTAGAAACAAAAGCTTATAACTTGACTTTAAATTAATCGATTGGTTTTAGAAATGTCTCATATGAAAGCTAAAACCCTCCCAAATTATGCTCAATATACTAAAATAAATTTGCTTCACTGAAAAAAGATTGATCATTTAATGAACACAGAAAGATCAGATTTTGGCAAGACAAAAGTCTTGTCGCCTTGTCATATGATGCACCCAATCCTAGATTACAGCCTCACCTGTGATCAGTTACTGATCAATCAATTAGTGGGTGTGTATAAAAAGAACCCCAGCACACCAGACCTTCACATCAACTGCAACTTGACCTCTGACAACATGCCTAAGATCCACCCTGAGACCAAAGCGTTAATTATCAAGAGACTGAAGACCAGATCCACTGCTGAGGTGGTGACACCTTCAATGTGTCTCAGCGTCAAGTACAAAGAATAAGAAAAAGATCTGAAATGACTGGAGATGTTTTTGACAAGCCCAGGTCCGGCAGACCCGCAAGACAACTGCTCGGGAGGACCGTTTGTTGATTCGAAAATCCAAGGCCAGCCCCTTTTCCACTGCAGCAGACTCCACCAGGCCTGGTCACCTCAAGTCCCTGTGTCAACCTGAACAGTTTGTAGAATTCTGTCTCGAAATGGCCTCCATGGTCGAATCAGTGCACAGAAACCAGCACTAAACAAAAGGCAATTAAAAAACCGTGTGGCATTTGCCAAGGCCCACAGCCTGCTAAAAGGATGGACACTGGAAAAGTGGCAGAAGGTGGATTTCTCAGATGAATCCTCGGTTGAATTACATCACAGCCGCCGCAAATATTGCAGGAGACCTACTGGAGCCCGCATGGATCCAAGATTCACCCAGAAAACAGTTAAGTTTGGTGGCGGAAAAATCATGGTCTGGGGTTACATCCAGTATGGGGGTGTGCGAGACATTTGCAGGGTGGAAGGCAAATATCAATAGTCTAAAATATCAAGAAGTATTAGCTCCTCTTACATTCCCAACTATAAAAGGGGTCAAATTTTGCAGCAGGATGGTGCTCCATCACATACTTCTATCTCTACATCAAAGTTTCTCAAGGTGCGAAGAAGATCAAGGTGCTCCAGGACTGGCCAGCCCAGTCACCAGACATGAACATCATTGAGCATGTCTGGGGTAGAATGAAAGAGGAAGCATGGAAGGCAAAACCAAAGAATCTTGATGAACTCTGGGAGGCATGTAAGACGCTTTCTTTGCTATTCCTGATGACTTCATCAACAAATTGTATGAATCATTGTCGAACCGCATGGATGCGTCCTTCAAGCTCATGGAAGTCATACAAGATATTAAATATGGATCTCACAGCACCACTACTTAATTCACTGACGTTATGCAACATATTTTTGTATTTGAAGTAAATTATTTGTTCAATTTTCTGTAGGCGACAAAACTTTTATCTTGCCAAAATCTGACCTTTCTGTGTTCATTAAATGATCAATCTTTTTTCAGTGAAGCAAATTTATTTTAGTTTATTGAGCATAATTTGGGAGGGTTTTAGCTTTCATATGAGACATTTCTAAAACCAATCGATTAATTTAAAGTCAAGTTATAAGCTTTTGTTTCTACAAAATGGATAAGCGACAAGACTTTTGTCAGGGACTGTAGTATCTGAATAATTTTATTTGGGCTGTTGCAGTGCCCCCACCTGGACAATATGCGCCATTACATAAACTTTAGTCTTTTTATTGGGTTGTGTTGAGGAACTTTGGCTTTAATTTGTTTTCCCTTATTTGTCCTGTATTTGACACGAAATTATCAGTAAAAATAAATATGGCTCTACAAATATTATATTCCACCAAAAGTGACAACTGTGAAGTTTGTGATTTTAATAACTTTGTGTGTGCACTAAATAAATTTCCAGAATACTACTCTATTTCTCTATTTTATAATTCATATTTTTGACTAAACTAAAATCTACAGACCTAAATCTTTAGTTTCAGAAATGTTGCTGTGACATTTTGCGGATAATTTCCTTTACTCAATACATTTCTCATTAAATAAATACACATGTTAAATAGAATAATCTGAATATTACTTTTCAGTATTCTAGAAAAATCGTTTCAGCTCTCAATATACTTTCTAAAATAAACCAATGTATGCTCCATATCTGTCTGTCTGGCCCTTTCACAATAAAAGTCTTCAGGAATGTTTGAGTTCAAATCTCTCGTTTTGCGCAGTAAAAGCTTCTATTTTCTATTACAAATAAGGAGAGTTTGAAGCAGTTGTGGAAGATATCATGGAAATGCTTTGAGTGCAGCTAACATTACATTAGAACCGCTACTGTTCTACTGTTCTAAATCAAAAATAAATCAGTGTTTCCCCAGATGAATTTTAGACTCTTATTTTGAAATATGTCCAAATTTGTTAGTTACGACCAATTTTTCATATGTTTTGGGACACTTTATTATTAATTATTAAATGTTTGTTGTTGCTGAAACTTCTGACATGGTTTAGCTGGACATCTTGAGTAAAAAAATTTAAGTTATTTTGATTTTTAAGATGCAATGTGTAACTTTTCGGGTGGAGGTTATGTTAAATGCTTTTCTTCATGGAGATGTTATTGCTTTGTCTGGAATGTTTCACAGTATGGCATTAAATCTGTCTATCTTCATGGATACTTCATGGAAACTAGACCAAGTTACAGGTCAGATCTGTGGAGAGGCGAGCTCGCTCAGAGTCAGAATGCCTGTTTTTCTAGGTATTTTTAAGCTATAAAATGTAACTGAATAAATGTAAGATAGATCTGTTTAAAGTCATACTGTGGAACATTCCAGACAAAGCAATAACATCAGAGCATTGACATATCCATAGAAACAAGCAGGTGGCGGACCTCTAACCAAAAAGTTACATAGTGCACCTTTAAGTATCCTAAAATCTGTAGTAATGTCATTTTTTAAAAATTTGTATTCCTATGAAAGAATTCTGCCGTTATATTCTTGTCTAGTTTAAACAAATATTAGCTTTTTGGTCTTTTGCGTTTGCATTTTTTGGGAACAATTATCAACGATCCTCCAACATATTTCATATTTTGTCGAGTTTTGTCTTTCTCAACTCACTTTTTGGACCTCGGACCACAGTTTGAGTAGCACTGACTTAAGCTGTATTGATGTTTGGTTAATTCCTCTTTTTTAAAAACACCTTTTATTTTGAAACTTTCTTCCTACACGCTCTCCTGGGCTGTAGCGTTACTCTTATCGTCTAGGGGAGTAGTTTCGGACGCGGTAGGTTGGGTGGGGGCGGGAGCGGCTTCGACCAGCGGGACCTTCTCTTTGTCCGGAGACGAGGGTTGGATGGTGAGCGCGGTGGTGCCCTCTGCTGGCGCCTCTGTGGTGCCAGAGGTTTGCTCGGGAGGAGGGACAGTAGCTCCGCCGAAACCACGGGCGATCTCGTCAAATGTTTTGCCTTTGGTCTCGGGGACTTTGATGAAGGTGAAGATGAAGAAGAGGATGAGGAAGGCGGTGAAGATGAGGAAGACCCAAGGGCCACACAGCTCCTACAGAAACAAAGAGGGGATAGGAATTGGTTAAGAGACATCAGACTTATCATTTTGCTCTACCTGACCCTCTCCTCTTCATCCTCTTCCCCACCTGACCCTCTCCTCTGCTCCTCTGACCCTCTCCTCTTCATCCTCCTGTCCACCCATCCCTCTCCTCTTCATCCTCTGCTCCATCTGACTCTCTCCTCTTCTCCAATTGACCCTCTCACTTCATCCCCTGCTCCTCTGACCTTCTCCTCTTTATCCTCCTCTCCATCTGACCCTCTCCTGTGCTCCATTTGACCCTCTTCTCTTCATCCTTTGCTCAATCTGACCCTCCCCTTTACATCCTCTGCTCCATCTGACCCTCTCTCCTGCTCCTCTGGCCCTCTCCTCTTCATCTTCCTCTCCATCTGACCCTCTCCTCTTCATCCTTTGCTCCTCTGACCCTCTCTCCTTCATCCTCTCTTCCATTTGACCTCATGCTCTGAATCTTTTGTTCCATCTGACCTTCTCCTCTTCACCCTGTGCTCCATCTCACCTTCTCCATTTCATCCTCTGTTCCATCTGACCCTCCTCTGCTCTTCTGACCCTCTCCTCTTCATCCTCTGCTCCATCTGACCCTCTCCTCGACATCCTCTTCTCCATCTTACCCTCTCCTCTGCATCCTCTGACCCTCCGCCTTCATCCTCTTCTCCATTTGACCCCCTCCTCTGCATCGTCTGCTCCATCTGACTCTCTCCTCTTCACCCTTTACTCCACTTGACCGTCTCCACTGCTCATCTGACCCTCACTGCTTCATCTTCTACTCTATCTGCCCCTCTCCTCTTCATCCTCTGCTCCATTTGACCCTCTCCTCTGCTCCTCTCCACTTTATCCTCTGTTCCATGTGTCCCTCTCATCTTCATCCTCTGTTCCATCTGACCTCTGCATCCTCTGCTCCATCTGACCCTCTCCTCTTCATCCTTTGCTCCATCTGATCCTCTCCTCTATATCCTCTTTGGTCTTCTCTTGGCCTTTATGGAATTACCCATTATGTTTTCAATAATACATTCAAAAACGTCCACACATCTGACCTGTAACATGAGCTGTTGGTGTCTCTGTGAAAAATATTAATGCAACACTGAACATTCCAGGAAACACACCACACCATGGACAGAGTAAAGTTACAAGTAAAATCAAGGGAAATCTAAACACTGGCTGAGCTGGTTGACTATTATAACATCACTATTATTTTGAGAAGAGATTTGAACTCACCACTAGTTTGGGGAAGCTCATGCCGACCAGGAAGTTGGCGGTCCAGTTGCAGCAGCCGGCCACAGCCATAGCAGCCGGACGAGGGCCCTGAGAGAACAGCTCAGCCACGATGAACCAGGGGATGGGACCGGGGCCCATCTCAAACATGGCCACGAACAACATCACCGCCAGGATCGCAATGTAGCTCATCACAGGCACGGATTTCTGTGCACACGGACAGAGGAAAGACAAATCAAACTTCATTCAAGAAGACAAGAGGAAGTGTTAGACTATCAAGTAGATCAGGATAATCACTATTGGGCAAGTTACTTTAAAACTGTAATGCGTTATTTTTGACTTGTTACTGTAATTTCAAAAATAATTTATTACATTACAATATTACTGCATTTAAAATGTAAGGCGTTACATTATTATTGCAGCACTGTGAAGATGCTGATCTTTTGCGCCGTATATGGACTGAACCAAGACTAAACCAGGACTCAACCAGGACTTAACCAGGACTAAACCAGAACTAAACCAGAACTGAACCAGGACTGAAGCAGGTCAAAACCAGAACTGACCAGGTCTAAACCAGGTCTAAACAAGGACCAAACCAGGACTAATCTTGGACTAGAACTTGGACTCTAGGACTGCCCCCAAGTCTGTGGAACAGGGTGTCTGCAAGGTGCGACTGGGCATCAGTTGCGGTTAGCCCCTTTTGCTCGCGGTCACCCGACGGTCTACGTGGGCGCATCTCCAGTGTTTCACTGCTGCTGATATCGCGGTGATTTTAGCGAATTTGTATGAAGAAAAACAAAAAACCCACCACTTCAACCCAGGTTAAAAAAGCATTGTAACTTGCATTACTGACATTTGTACTAAGTAAAATACTACTTTTTTCCCCCCTGTAATGCCGTAACATTACTGCGTTACAGCACAAAGCAATGCATTACAGTAATTCATAACCTGTTACTCCCAACGCTGATGGTAATTTACACTAGGGAATACAGAACTAAAAGAAATTATGGCCCACTGACTTTCTTTTCAAACCTAAACTGCAGAACAACTGAGAAGCCCTGCCTCTTCATTGTGGAATTTCACAAGGCAAGTGGCAGATTTTCATTTAGGTGTTGGCACAGTTGAACATTTGACAGTGTGACATTTCTGACCCCTTCATAGGAGGTAGGTGGTAGGTGAAAACTGAAATTATCTGAGCATGAATCACACAAAATAAAACTTTGTTAACGATGACAGAACACTGTTAGTTATTACAGAAAAGTTGATTTTAGATGATATGCTCACTTTAAAGCAGTTCTAAATACACAGTAACATCCATGGACTATTTTGTAAGCAAATTTTATGTTAGTTTATGTAAATTAACCCCACCATAGTCTTAAATCCTCCTGGCATAACAAAATCTCACTTTGTTGCTCCTTGTGTTGTCATTCACATGAAAAGTGACTTTGCTACTCAAAAACATTGCTTAAGTATGAAATGCAGGAAATAACCGACTTAAAATCCTATACATTGTGAGCAAAATCTTTGGGAAACATTAACACTCCTGGACACTGTCTCACTCTTGATTTTTCATTTCGGTCCCTCCCTTCCTTAGGTATACTAGCTGAGGAATAAAAGAAAAATCAAGAGTGAGACAGTTTGTGGGAGTTTTCTTTAAAAACAGCTAAGTGCCTCTTCTCCAACGCACCTGTCACCCAGTCAGGAGTGCAGAGTCTACACAGAAACAATGACACACAAAATAATTTGAAAAACAAGAAAACACAGTGACTGACCAGCAGTAGGGAGATGGTCATGAGCAGAGCACTGACGGCCATTCCTCCCAAACCGAGGAGGTGCAGAGTGCGACGGCCGGCTTTCTCCACCAGGAACAACTGAAGGACGGAGACAAAAGAGGAAAAATAAAAAAAAAAAACGCTTTCAGATATTGTAACCTTTCAATACAGTCTCACAATGTATTTCTTATGTCTTGAAAGGACACATGTATCTTGTAAATCTTATGGGGACTGGTCAAATTACTGTGTTATATCTATACATATATTTACTTTACTTATAGATTTAGAATGGTACCCCCAACTGTATCAATCAGTATATCAAAAGCAATTGACCTCACAGCTCTCCAACGCTGTCTGTGATCTGCAAAACTAAATACTAATTATTACACAATAAACAAAGGGAAATTAGATCAATAAACATGTAAATCACAGACTGTATATATAGATGGACATAGTTAACCCACCAGTCAGTGTGTTCCAAACAGGAAGTGTTCATGAGGCACTTCCGTCTCCAACAACTGCTCTCTGTAACTGCTGCTGTGAGTCATTTTCATCTTAAAATGTTTGTATTAACCCGCTCTACATGATCCTGGTGTTTTTATTTTGTTATTTTGTCTGTAAATTAATTCCTTGTCTCCAAATTCAATCTTATAACACCTCGTGAGCCTAATTTGACTGGACCTGAACACTATGAGTGATATCACACCCACTTAGTCCACTCCTTTATACAGTCTATGTGCAAAATCAAGCGGCAGGCCATCCAATTCTTTGCATTTCTACAATGCTGTGTACCTCCCCACAGTATCAGATTTCATAGTGCTTTTAGGTTATGTAATAAAAAACAAGAGCACATGTGAGGGTTGGATATTGTTAAATATGTGGTAAAATCATGAATATACTGTAATACCACTCACAGAGACAATAGTGAAGATGACGTTGACAATCCCCGCTCCGATAGTGGCATAGATGGGCTGTTTCACCCCAGCCGAGTCGAAAATACCAGTGGAGTAATAAAAGACCTGAAAGAAGGAAGGAAAAGCTGTTTATTTTTGATAGAGCGATTTAGACTGAAAAAGGCAGATTTGAAATGGCAGCTGTAGATGTTGTTCTGTGGTGCGGAGCGCTGCAAGTCTACAAACAAAATATCTCATGTAACTTTACTGTCAAACAAAATAAAGGTAGATATTTCTGTGAAAAGGCTTCATAAAACAGTTTGAATAGTATCATGTTAAACTCGAGGAGAGAATTGGCATCTAGTGTTTTTAGCAATAACACAATCTGGATGTATCAAAACAAATATGATCCAAAAGGCAATATCATGTCTTAGGAGAGGACTGAGAATTATGGAGAGATTGTTGTTACATAAAAGTAAAAATTTTACATAATAAAAAGGCTATTTTATTAGCAGCAGCTGCAATATATATAGTAGTATTTGTGATTTGTGTATTGGTACATGCAGAGCATTGATTTGAGAGCAGTCGGGCAGTTGTAGTAAGACAGCAGCAGTAGTACTAGTAACAGTAGTAAGAGTTGCAGTAGTAGTAGTAATTGCAGTAGTAGTAGTAGTTGCAGTAGTAGTACAAGCATTTTACTTGCAATATTAATCCCAGAGAGTTGCTGTGACAGTTGAAGTAGCAGTAGTAGTGGTACTAATAGTAGTTGTAGTGGTAGCATTTTTACTCACAGAGTTGATCACAGACAGTTACAGTGACAGTTACAGTAGCAGTTGTAGTAGTAGTAGTAGTAGTAGTAGTAGTAGTAGTAGTGGAATGGATCACGTTTCTTGAAGTAATGTAGACTTATACTAAAGTACATTCCATAGAGTCTCAGTACGTTTTTTTTTTTTTTTTTAGCAGGTGAAGCCATTTAAGATCTCCAGGCCAAGTCCTGCAGTTCCTGGGCTGCTCCTCCTTCTGAGCCACCTGTCTAGAAGCTGACACCTGTCACATTCCGCCTGACACAGGTAAACTCACACCTGTCACACTCCACCTGACACAGGTAAGTGAAATGGGATTCTCTGGGAAACATCAGCCTGACAGCATGCAGGAGTCAACCGTGAGGCACAGGTTTTTTCTCATGGACAGTAGTAGGAGCAGTATGTTTACTCACAGCATTGATCCCAGACAGCTGCTGTGACAGCTGCAGCATCACGGCGATGAGCAGAGGTTGTCTGTAGGATGCAGACCTGAACAGCTCAGGGATGGTGACCTTCTTCTCCAGAGCCATCTTTGCACTCTCCTCCTTCATCTCCTGCAGGTCCTTACTCACATCCTCTGTACCGCGCAGACGCACCAGGGCTGATGAGCACAGGAGACACAGGGAGTAAAGAGTATGGTTAGTTATGATATGTGAAATTGAGCTGGGCAATGAATCAAACTTTATTCAATATCAAGATTCAATCATTTCTTATTGTCAAAGATCCGCCTGTCTTTTCAATGGATCAATGGATCAATTTATAGCTATACTTCTGCCAGTAAAAGCCTGTTGTTTGGAGAAAGAAATTTGAGATTTTTGTGTTAATAGAATAAAATGGTGTACTGTTTATTTAAAAAAAAAATTAAAACCAATGTTTGTTTGTTTTTTGTAGCAAGATTAAATAAAATTGAAAACTGTGAATCATCAGTGTGACCAAAACAAAAAAAAAGTAGTAAAAAATATAATAATTAGTTCATTTTCAACCACACTTGGGCCACAGTAAAAGAAAGTGATATGGTTGAGTTTGTAGAGTAATTGTGTGTTTTGGTGCATTTACTTGAAGTGATTTTAAATTTGGTGGTACCACTGATGACCACTAGATGTCATTATAGCAAAAAGGTATTTGAAGGTGTCTCTTACTCTAAAAATATATTAGTGTCTACTTATCCTGAAGTGCTTGTTTTTCTGAGTAACAATGACTATAATGACTATTAAGTTAGTATTATTTAGTGAAAGCTGCAGTCATGACGAAATCTCTGTGGTCACTTATAGGTCACACGTGTCTAAACCAGCTGTCTGTTTAGTGTTCACCTATAGTGATACTTGAGTAATGTATTTGTCTGGAAATTAGCTGTGTATTATTTTCAGAACATTGTATTACAGTTATTTTTAATAATTGGTCATTTTTATTTTTGACTTTATATGTTTTATTGTCCTGCTGTTCTTGTAATCTGAGTTGCATCACTGGAACTTCTGGTAACACTTTTAATAACCTTAATAAAGCATGATTAACATTTAACTCACAATGAACAGTTTATTAACAACGAGTAACTACTTGACACCATAACCATAACTCTAACCCCTTGTTTAAGTAGTTAGCTAGTCTTCATAAATCTGCATCTATTTTCTTCAGCTTTATCTGAGCTCACAGAGGCAGCAGTCTGAGCAGAGATGCCCACTTTCCTTTCAACACATTCATAATGAAAAACTAAACTATTTGTTCAATGTTCATTATGAATGAAGTCTTTGTTCATGATTTTTGAGGTTAGTTCAGGTGTAGTTATTATAAAGTGTTACAGAAAAAGTGGCAAACAAAGGTTATCTTATGGTATCATAAAGCAAAAACCAATTCAAGCATTACACAGAATGTAGTAGTACAGTAGAGACTAATAACAATAAATGTGTACCTTTGCGCGCCTGCTCCTCCTGTTTGAGGTTGATGAGCAGAAATCGTGGGCTCTCAGGGCAGAACGGGAGCAGGATGCACTGCAGCACGGCCGGGACGACGGTCAGCGCCAAGAGCAGAGGCCACAGCTTGTCTGAGCCCAGCAAACTCTCCAGACCAAAGATCTGTACAGAAAGGAGAGGTTAATCTATGAGCCTCAAACTCTCCAGACCAATGATCTAAGTACAGAGAGGTTAGAGAGAGTTAGTCTTTATTTATGAAGACATTAAGAAAAAGAAGAAAAAAAAAAAAGCTGGAGATTAAAACAGTGAAGTAGGTAGTTAGTGTGGTAGTTAGATGTGACATATTTTAACAACTGGTGAGTCTCCACAAAAAGCCACATGACTTAAAGCAACACTGTGTAACTTTCTGGAGGCGGTTCACTTCCATATGATTCCATGGAAAGTTAAAACCATACTTTGAAACTTTTTCCATGTTTTATGCTATACTTCCTTATGATAAAAGAACATTTCTATGGAGACAACAGGGAGAAACGTTTGTGGAGATGCAAGCCCACTAACAAAAAGGATGCATATTATTTTATAGTCTATTTTTTACCCCCAAAGTTCTGCGTTAGGTGGGGCTTTCATTTATGATTTACATAATATTGCCCACTGTGGTAACTTCATGACTCCAGTGAACCTCCTGCACAGATAAAATACTTTCATCTTACCTGTGCGATGAGGATGCCCACCACAACCCCGAGCTGGTGCAGGGTCCCAAAGGCTCCTCGGAGGGGGGTGGGTGACACTTCTCCTACGTACATGGGTGTGAGTCCGGTGAAGAGGCCACAGAACAGCCCAATGACCAGACGTCCAGCGATCACCATCTCATAGGAGGAGCAGATGGTGGAGAAGCCCATGAGGAGCCCCCCGATCACGGCCAGAACATTCACCAGGAACATGGACCTGCGCCTGGACGGACACACACACACACAGGGACACACACATTTTAGATGAATGGTTAAGGCACACTATTTTGCTGTAGATGGAAATAGGAGATTTATATTAAAAATACATCTAAGTCTGCACATTTTTTTTTTTTATATTACAGTTGATTTCAGTTTCTGTGACAGTTGAATCTCAGCTATTTCGCAAGTGAGATTTAGCACATTTCTGATGGATTGCCATGAAACTCTCTGACTGTTGCCATAGTGATAAAATAAAGAAACAATATTCTGTCAGCATCGCCCACCCCAACCCTCCTAGAGAAATGTGTCCTTGGTGTTTGACTCATTCTTCAGTACCACTGTGCTGAATGCAGGTGTGGTGAGCACTTTCAAGTTCAGTTCAGTCTAGTATCACTTATGAAACCAAAAACAAGCACATGAGGCTCGTTCTGCTGCCAGGTACTATGACCATGAATAGCTCAAGAGGTTAGTGGCCTTGAGGATGGTCAAATGCAGAGGACACATCTCACAAAAAGAAGTGTACTTAAATGTTGACAAAATTTCAGTTTGTATAACGTAGAATAACAAAATGGATTGGGATGTCCTGTCCACATAGCCCTAAGTATCAGATTAGATAATTTATCAAGGATGTACTGTATCGATTTCAAAAGTACAGTCGATTGTAGGGACGTAACAATAACCAAAATATCGTGACCATCACAATATATCAAATTACAAGTATCTTTGCTTAAATGAAGAGTTACAGTGCAGCATTAGCTAAAAAAAAGACAGAGGGAACTACATAGACCATGATCCTTTGCTCCATTTCAATGTAGACTATAATGGATAATAGAAATAATAGTTCTAAGCACTTTCAAGGCTTAGTTCTTTGGATTAAGGCTTGTCAAGGTATTTTAAGAGGGAAAAGTGACATTCACAGTTTTGTTTGCCTCCAGAAAATATCGCAATAAATATCGTACCATGAGATTTGGATATTGTTACATCGTGAGCTTCCCTATGATATCGCAATAAATATAGTACTGTGAGGTTCATACTGTGACGATATCGTATCGTGAGACTTGGATATCGTTACACCCCTATTCAATTGCGATACATTACACAGAATGCCATCAAAATAGTAGTATATTGTTCTAAATAAGGATGCAACAAAACTGTCTGGGATCATTAATGACTTTTTGTGGCCTGTAAATGAGAGCCACAGTGATAGAACATCCATTAGAGGCGTGAGTCCATGTGTGAATTAGAGACAAAAGTAGTGAAACCAAACAGGAAACACAGAGTATTCAGAGTGGTGCAGAGCAGAGCAGTACCTTCCAAAGCGGTTGGCCATGACCCCCACACTGAAGGAGCCCACCATGCCGCCCACGCTGAAGATGGCCACAGACACGCTCCACACGATGGTGCACACGCCCTGGCCGATGGGCTCTCCGTATCGCTCCATCCATGTCGAGTTAAAGAAGGAACGCAGCTTCTGCACAGGGAGAAACGGGGGGAAACAATAGTGATTAATATAGTTAAAGTCTGGGAGGATACGAAACATGCCAAAGAAATATAAATAAATCTAAATTGAATCTAAAACAATGACTAAAATATAAACTAAACATTAATGAATGAAAGGAATGAGAGACTAAATTCAAGTTTCTCTTCCCAATCCCAGGGCCCCAAACCAGAAGTAAAAAACATTTAAACAACATGGCCTGTGAAGAAACAGAGTACAGTTTATCGTATTTCAAACAAAAATATATTTTCTGATTGACTAAAACTATTAAATAACTAAAATACCATGAATTATTTGTGACAAAAGACTAAAACTAAATCCAAATGTAAAATTCTAGTCAAAATGAATTTAGGATTTGAGTCTGAGCCCCACCTGCTCTGGAGCATTGATGACTCCAGTGTTGTATCCAAACTGCAGAGAGCCGATGACCGCTGTGGCCAGAGAGAAGAGGAGGTACCCCGTCACCTGCTTCTGCTGCACAGACCAAAACAACAAAACAAAAGAATATAGCAGTTAGACATTTAGTGTAAGAAAATGTTTGGACACATTTTGGAGAATTCATAATGCTGTTGACAGTTGCAAAGAACAACCCCAATTACTGCATAGTTTAAACCTCTCCTGGAGCAATAAGATTATAAAAAGAACTGTCCCACTCTATAATAACTAAACCTTAATAAAGGCTCAAATCAAATATATTTATAGATCACATTTATAGATCACAACAACAAAAGCTAACAAACATAAGTAGATTCCACAATCTTTTCCTATTCCTACTTGTAAATATAAACTAGCATATGTACCGTATTTTTCGGACTTTAAGTAACACTTTTTTTTCATGGTTTGGGTGGTCCTGTGACTTATACTCCGGTGTGACTTATATGTTAAAATTTTCACACTGACAGTCACGAGAGGGCACTCTAGGCTTGTGTACGCCTTGTACCACTGTCACTTCACACTGTACTGTGCATGTCGGCTGCAGAAGAAAGCGAAAGAGCCACTGTCCTGTCTGTATCATGTCAGTCGATCACACCATTACAATTTAAAATTTAAACAAACATAAAGACAACCGAAACCATCCTTTCAAGATTCAGAAAGGCCGGAATAATTCTAACTGGAACTGATGCTGAGTCTGACGACAGCTACACAGAAAAGGAAGCTCTGTTTACCTCCGGAGGTCGCGGAGTTGTTCAGAAGTGACACCGTGGATGAAGAATTGAATGGATTTAGTGATTTGGAATGAGATGGAGAGTTTGTTAAACTTGTTCTGTTCTGTTGTTTATGCTATATTTATCTGAAGAACTGTTCATATGTGACGTTAACAGTCTGTTGTTCTCTGTTCTATTGTTATTACTAGAACTTGACTTTCAACATGAAATGTCAGTTCCTGGTCTCTGATTTTATAAAATAAATTTCCCCCAAAAAGTGCAATTTATAGTCTGGTGCGACTTATATATGTTTTTTTCTTCTTCATTATGCATTTTTTGGCTGATGTGACTTATAATCCAGAGCGGCTTATAGTCTGAAAAATAGTTTTATTATTTCCATAGTTGTGATTATTCTCTGCGTCGAGCTGATCCCTACAATATACTGTTAGATTCTATCCATTACTATACACAATTAGTCATTTTACTGAGCTGAAAACTACACACTCTTACTCATACACACACACACACACACACAAGCACACACACTAAATTTTTACACCTCGTCTGCTGTGGCGTTGTATGCATTTGTATTGTATTGTTCCTTATCGTACTAAGTGTATTTTCCTGTCCTGTCTAATCACAACACAATTAATTAAAGAAACTACTGCGCTACTTTAGTGAATCTTACTGCTAATTGTAAAGAGGGTTTGAGATTGCAAGATTACTCAAACCCAAAATCTTCAGGCATGTTTTTGAGTAGGGAACATTATAACATGGTACAAAAAGACCCTTTTGCATAATAGCCCCTCTTTAAACTGACCTTTTTGGGGACATTTCATGCACTTTCCCAAATGCCACACAGACATAACCAAGAGTCCAGTCTCATAATGGGATTTGAAATGACTTTGTGGATTTGTGATCAACCTGAGGGGAAGGTCAGTGTCACAGAGAGAGTGCGCATCAATAACACATGACGATATCTGCTCCTTTATGAAAGAAAACCTCTCTATTTCACCCATCCGCTTTGGGCTGAGTGCTGCACAGAGCCCATCCCTCAACATTGGATTGAGTTTGAGTCTAAACCAGATCTTTCAAATGGCTGTGGGTCCCAGAGGTGCTGCTGCTGCTCAGGTAATCAAATACATGAATCTCTGTAATGAAATCTACACCAGGGAAACACATTGCGGGCTCACAACCAGATGTGAAGAACAAGGTGATTATGGTTTTGTGATTGTGATTACCAAGGAGCAGAGATGGGTAGAGTAGTACAAATTAAGTTCAATCAAGTAAGAACATCTCGAAATGGTTTAAAATAAATGGTAAAAACTAGTCCTCTAAATAATTACTCAAGTGGGAAATCGAGAAACTACTACTTGAGTACTAAGTAATAGTTTGGATCTAAAATGTGTTTAAAATCAGGTTTATGATTTAATATAACTGAACAGATAAAACAATAATACTTAAAGGTGTATTGTGCAACTTTTCTGGTTTGTATCTACAGATAAATCATTGCTCTGTCTGAAATGTTCCACAGTATGACATAAAACAGCTCTACCGTACATTACAGGTGGTTTTATTGCTCAAAAATACCTAGAAAAACAGAGATCTGACTTGTAACTTGATCTGGTTTGGTCTTCATGAAAGGTTTAATACCATACTGTGAAACATTCCAGAGAAAGAAGTGACATCTCCACGAAGAAAAGCATTTGACAGACTGATAAAGCTGATAACTGATAGCCAAAATTGACTAATGGTCCCTCACACAAGTTTCAAAACGCAAGGCAAGAGATCCTTTCAAGATGTCTCCCCTAAACTCTGGAATGAACTGCCTCCTTACCTACGCCCTCTAGATAGTGTAGATACTTTTAAAAAGCACCTAAAACACTATGATAGATTTTATTTTATTATGAATGTATCTTCTGCTGTTTTTATCTTTTGTATCTGAAGAACTTTGTGACCTATATCTGTGAAAAGCGCTATATAAATAAACTTACTTACTAAAAGTTACTCAAGTAAATGTAACTTCTACCTCTGCAACTGTGTATTAAACTTGTCCAAAAGTAGACTACAAGACTGTAAGACAAGACGAGACATTTTCTTATTGTAGCAAAGTGAAGGTTTGTATACAGAACGCACTGTTTTGTTGTTTTGAAAAGTTGTACATTGACACACAGAATGTTAAATTAAAACTGAAATGAATCGTCGCTATCATTTTATAGTTAAGTATTAGGGTCAGTCCATATGAAATCAGTCGCCCTCCCTCATGAGCCATCTCAGATTTGGCTGAAAAAAAAATTCAAAAAATTTCTAAATGAAAGAATCTAAAATTTTAGCTCAGTTCTTTCAATTGTTTCTGAGTTATGTCCCGTTGAAATTTTGGGGCCATGCTCACTTTTTTGGACACCTTCATTTATAAGCATTCTGGAGAGACCATAACTTAATAAAAAATAGAGCTAGGAAACTGAAAATAATCTCCAATTGTCTTCTCTTATAACAAGCAATTAGTGTTTAAGGCTGTTAAAGGTAACTGAACCTTGCTATCAGGTGGAAAAGTACTTAAGCTCCACCAAAAATTACCCGTGAGAGCTCATTTTAAAAAAATCTGTTTGAAATGAAGGAAGTTAATAGTAGATGTTTTTATTACTTTAAACTAATCAGAATATACCAAAGTTTCAGGGTCCAAAGAAGGGGCCAAAAAGGTAATAAACTGGTTTGTAACCATATTTGAGACTCTACACCATCCACATGAAAGCTCAGAAAATTGTAAGATTGTTGTCAGAAATGGTCATTCTCTCAAATATTCACATTCAGCAGTTAGTTTGTAAATATATGTTTGGAGTAAATAGATCTTGGACCTTAAAAATTGAAAAAAAAAAAAAAAAAAAAAAATTGAGCAGCAGCCAAATTTGAGATTTTAGGAGGCCCACAGCACTCCCATTAATAAAGATATCCAATATTTGACATCAGATGCAGAATCTCAGACCAAGAATCTACAATAATATAAATTTCCAGCTTCCTAGCTCTATTTTATTATGAAGTTACGGTCTCTCAAAAATGCTTTTAAATTAAGGCCAAAAAAGTGAGCACGGCCCCAAAATTTCAACTGGCCATAACTCAGGAACGACTGAAGGCATTGAGCTAATTTTTTAGACTCTTTCATTTGGTCATTTTAGAATTTTTTTGAAAATTTCTCAGCCAAATCTGAGATGGAACAGAAAACAGCTGATTTCATATGGACTGACCCATTATTATTATGAAGCATTTCTGAATAATACATTTACTTTATTATTCTTCTGTCAGTGCAATAAGCAGTAAAGTGTGATTTTGTTGTGTCAGTGTATAGTTCTGGTTGTTTTTAGACATTGTATCTCCAGTGATGCATGGTTTGCTGTATTATGTAATGAGCATATTAATTCAAGATTAGAGGTCAAAGGTCAAGAAAAAAAAAAAGTACATATAAACAGATACTCAAATGTAAGCAAAAAGTGAAGTATTTTTGACATTTGTATCGAGTCTAAAGTCTCAAAATGAATGCATGTTAGAATTAGGATTAAAATGGCTAAATCTCCCTGTCTCTGCTGTGTGAACGTGCCAAGGTCGTCCCAGGACACCGTTTTGGGTTCACCACATGTCACGAGGCCTGACTCAGCTCAGCCTTGTGATGCTATTCGAGATGGGCATCAGGTGACCCACTGCCCTTCATTCTCCCAACACGCACGCACACGCACAAGCACACACACGCACTATAGAGATACAATGGCACGGCTCTGGACCAATCAGAACGCGGGAAACGGCGGAATGAGTCTAATATGGAGTGAAAGAATGGTATGAAAGATGAATGTGGGGGCAGGAAGTAGAGAGACGAGAGAAGGATTTGAATGTGATATTGATGCTTTGTCCCCAGGGAAGGCACAAAGTATATAAAGAAAAAGGGGACTCAGTAAACGAAATTATTATGTTATCAAACTGAAGCAAGAATGTGAAGTCATATTTGGACGTTATAACCAAATGAACATTTTTAACACTACTTACTTTAAAGGGTCCATATTACACTATTTTCTGGTCTTTCTTTCTAACATACTGTATATAATGTTGTTTCCTCTTCACAAACATACCTGAATTTGTGTTTTGTTTCATTCAGACTTGTGTTTTTTAATGTTTTGCATGTTTTTATACTGTGTTGATTTGAATGTAAAGCACTTTGGTCACATAGAGTGTTGTAATGGGCTTTGTAATTAAAGTTGGATTGATTTATTGATTGTCTGATTGATTGATGTTTAACACACAAACCCTGCATGTTTAGGCTGAGACCTTCTCTCAAACAGAAAA